TATGGTAGAGTTACTATTGAAAGAATTAAGAGTAAGACGGAGAATAGGATAACAGATGAACAAGGAGGCTTTAGGAAAGGTAGGGGGTGTGTGGACCAGGTGTTTACAGTGAAACATATAAGTGAACAGTATTTAGATAAGGCTAAAGAGGTCTTTGTGGCATTTATGGATTTGGAAAAGGCATATGACAGGGTGGATAGGGAGGCAATGTGGCAGATGTTGCAGGTGTATGGTGTAGGAGGTAGGTTACTGAAAGCAGTGAAGAGTTTTTACGAGGATAGCGAGGCTCAAGTTAGAGTATGTAGGAAAGGGGGAAATTATTTCCCAGTAAAAGTAGGCCTTAGACAAGGATGTGTGATGTCACCGTGGTTGTTTAATATATTTATAGATGGGGTTGTAAGAGAAGTAAATGCGAGGGTCTTGGCAAGAGGCGTGGAGTTAAAAGATAAAGAATCACACATAAAGTGGGAGTTGTCACAGTTGCTCTTTGCTGATGACACTGTGCTCTTGGAGATTCTGAAGAGAAGTTGCAGAGATTGGTGGATGAATTTGGTAGGGTGTGCAAAAGAAAAAATTTAAAAATGAATACAGGAAAGAGTAAGGTTATGAGGATAACAAAAAGATTAGGTGATGAAAGATTGGATATCAGATTGGTGGGAGAGAGTATGGAGGAGGTGAATGCATTCAGATATTTGGGAGTGGACGTGTCAGCGGATGGGTCTATGAAAGATGAGGTGAATCATAGAATTGATTTAGGGGAAAAGGGCGAGTGGGGCACTTTATAGGAGTCTGTGGAGACAAAGAACTTTGTCCTTGGAGGCAAAGAGGGGAATGTATAGAGTATAGTTTTACCAACGCTCTTATATGGGTGTGAAGCATGGGGGATGAATGTTGCACCGAGGAGAAGGGGGGAGGAAGTGGAGATGTCATGTCTGAGGGCAATGTGGGTGGTAAATAAAATGAAAGAGAATTCGTATTTTGGAATTTTGGGAAAGGAGGGGGAGGGTTACCAAAAACCTGTTTTTTCCAAGGGCTGAGGAAGGGTTTTAAAGGGGTTTCGGCCCCAGGGAAAAAGAATGGGGGCGAAACAGAGTGATTTCCCCGGGAGTGTTCGGTCAGTAGTAAAAAGGAAAAAGGCGGGGTGGGGGTCAGCCAAAAAAAAGGGGTGGAGGGGGGGGGTTAAGGGGGTTTTTTTGGGGCGTCGGGGGTTTGGGACTTCCAGCAGGCATGCGGGGAAGCGTTTTTCGATGGGAAATTGAATGGGAAAAAAGGGGTTTTTTTAATTTTTTGACGTACTGTTGGGGGTGGTGAGAAAAAGAAAATTTTAAATAAAGGGGGTTTCGGGGAAAACCGGAAAACCCGGGAAATTGAGTCCGGGGAGAGGGGAATTTACAGTGCCCTGCACTCTAAAAGGGGAGTTTTTTTAAATGTTTGCAGTTTAAAAACTGTAGTGAAAAGCCCCCTTTCCCGGGAAAGCCAGTGATGGAGGGGAATATGGGGGTTGAAATTTTTTCCCTTTTTCGGGCCCCCCCGGGCCTTGGGGGGGGGGGTTTTGGGCCCCAGTGTGAAATTTTAAAAAAAAATTTTTACCGAGTAAAACCAAAAAAGTTTTAAGGTAGGGTTTTATAATTGAAAGAATTAGGGGTAAGACAGAAGTAATTTTAAAATTTACCAAAGGGTTTCAGAGTGGGTGGGGGAGGGGTAGCTCAAGTGCTTACATTGAAGCATTTAGTGAACAGTATTTAGATAAAGGTGGGGAAGACTTTTGCATTTATGAATTTAAAAAAGGCCCCATACGATAAGGGGAAATAGGGGAAAATGGGGGCAGACTAAAAGTATAGGAATAGGTGGTAAGTTATAAATCCCTGTAAAGATTTTTTATGGGGATGGGGTTGAGGTTTTCGGGTTTTAGTGGTGTAGAGGGGGGGGGGGGAAACTATTTTCCCAGTAAAAGTGGGTCTTGGGACGGGGAAATTGTATTGTCACCATGGTTGTTTAATATATTTAAAGATGGGGGTTTTAAAAGAAGTAAATGCAAAGGGATTCAGGGGAGGGGGGGGGATTTTTAAATTTTGGGGAAAATTAAAAACAAAAGGGAAATTTACACAGGGGGTTTTTGCCCGATGATATGTGCTTAAGGGGGATTCCCAAAGGGAAAAATTTCAAAGGGTTGTGGAGGTTTTTTTGGGGTTTTGTGTAAAGGTAAAAGTTGAAAAGGGGAACATAGAAAAAGAGTAAGGTGAGAGGGGGGCCCAAAAGATTTAGTTAAAAAATTTTTGGAATCAAATTGGGGGGGTTTTAAAGGAAGAAGTGAAAAGTTTTCAGATACTTTGGGGGTTGCCCCTGTAGCGGATATTTGAAGGATTTAAGTTAATTTTATAGAAAATTTAAAGAGGGAAAAAAAAGGGGAGTGGGACTTTTTAGGTAAATTTTGGAGCAAAAAAAAGTTATCTATGGAGGGAAAAAAAGGGGAAAGGTTGGGAAAATATTGTAGTACCCCAAAACTCTTATATGGGGGTGAAAACTTGGTTTTTGAATTTCAGGCAAAAAGACGGTTGGGGGCAGTGGGGATTTTCCTGTCTAAGGGGGAATGTTTTGGGTTTTTAAATATTATGCAAAAAAAAATTCGGAGTGGGAAAAATTTGGAGAAGGGGTGGAGTTAATTAAAAATATTAGCCCAAAAGGGTGAAGACGGGTTTTTTGAGGTGGTTTGGGGCCCTTTTTGAAAAGGGAAAGGATTTAAAGTAAATTTATGTGGGGAAAACGTTTAAATTGCAGGGAAGGAAGGCGGGGTAGGGGTTGTTTCCCCGAAAAGGTTGGAAAGGGGGGAAAGGGGGGTTTTTGTGGGCGAGGGGGTTTGGGGGGTTTCCCGGGAGGCGTTTCAGGGGGTTTCGATTTGGGGTGAATGGAGACAATTTGGGATTTGGGACCGGGCGATCCCGTTGGGTTGGGGACAGGGGAATATTTTTGTGAAGGAAATTTTTTAAGGGTACCGGGTTATATTTTATATAGCCAGACTCGAGTCCTGGAAATGGGAAGTACAATGCCTGCACTCTAAAGGAGGGGTTCGGGATATTAGCAGTTTGGAGGGATATGTTGTTTATCTTTATACGTATATGCTTCTAAACTGTTGTGTTCTGAGCACCTCTGCAAAAACAGTGATTATGTGTGAGCGAGGTGAAAGTGTTGAATGATGATGGGGGGGGGGGGGGGGGGAAGAAGTTCAACTTACACAAACCCGCACAGCTTATTTTCAACATTTCTTTCAAGAAAAGTGTTTTCCATTATGCAGCAAGATAAATTGGGCAGGTCTAGGGCAATACCCATGGTGAATGACTCCCTACCCATTCCATAAACATGTGATTGATGATCTCAATAAATTTGAGCTAAGTTACCTTCTTATTCTTTACCCATAGTACCATTCACCCATAAAAACATTTTTTTTATTTTTCAAAAATAATCATATGAGGTTATGCTCAATAATAACCCACATGGAGAAAAACTCAGAAGATTAATTGATCTGTACATTTCCACCCCCTTCTGGGAGAGGACCCCAGCAGGGGGTCAAAATATACAGATAAATTAATCTCTGAGTTTCTGTCTCCATGTGAGTTATTACTGAGCATAGACAGGTCTTCATTACACTTTAGTTATTCCTCTGGAATTATCTTTGTAGAAACTGAAGGCAAATTTCAAGTTTATTTGCTTTTTATCAGATGCAGAATAGGGTGTCAAACAATGATAAACCAGGAAAAGAATGTAAAATAAAATATCCAGATAAGATCAGGAATGACCATTTGAGGATTGTGGAGGTCCAGTGTGTCAAGAAGTAGAGGATTCGAGAAGTTCAACATTTAGCCTGTGCAAAATTGCTTTTTGTATTCAATTATCATGGCAAGCAATAAAATCAATATACTGCTGACCACTAAGCATATTTTAACACTAAGCAGTTTACATACCTGTACACCAAATCCAAAAAATTTCAATCAACAGCTGAAGGCTTTTCCCCCATGTTGCTGACAGTTTAATATTTGACAAAAAGGAGTCATTAGTGAGAATTTAATAGTGCAAATCCATCCAATGTGACGAAGTACGACAGGAAAACCATCAAGCATGGTGGATGTGTTAGGTAAACACAGTTAATTTTTGTTCAAACCTTGTAAAGTGTAACAGATCAGGTTAGCCAGTGTGATGTAAGAAATTTTCATAGTAAAAAAAAATTTTTGCAGTATACAAGTAAATTTTTGTTTTTTTGTTTTTTGAAAAGAGGGTGACATTTATAGCCCTGTACAGTATTTACCTTTACCAAAATAATTTACTGTGTAAATAAGAGTATAAATATATTAAATGGCTGTACGATACATTTGACATTCTGAGGATGTATAAACTGGATCTTATGGATCACAAAGTCATTTTAACACTGGCTGTTAACAGGAAGATCATTATTGTCTTTGTTTTTACAGCAAAGAGTTGCTAATGTATTACCACCATCACTTAATTAATATCAATCTTCTCTGAAAGAAGTAAGGACATGACATTTTAAAGGATCCTCTGAATTGCAACATGCTCACCCCTCCTTTAGAGTACAGAAACTGTACTTCCCATCTCCAAGATTCAAGTCCAGCTAACCAATTTTCCTGAGTCCATTCATAAATGTTAACTTGTCCACACTAATTTAATATTTTCAATGACCTGACTGAATTTATTTCTTGAGAGATCCTCTCGCAATAATCAGAGCATCGAGAAAAATATCAAAATAACGAAGATACTGAATTTCTGAAAGATATATTCCACAACAACATTCAGATCCTATATAGAAACCTTTCTCTGATGAAGTATGTAAACCAATTTGCAATAATCCTGCTACAGAGGCAGAAACAATAAATTTTAACAGAGCAGTAAGGAAAAGTAACAAGGGGAGTATAAGCTAATGCAATTATTTAAGGAGATAAAAACCAGAACCATGAGACTTAAAAGGGAAATATATCTGAAAACACTACCTTAAGCCGTGCTAATTCCTGTTGATATTCTCTAAGGATTGCATCTTTCGGATCTTCATTGATTTTGGGCTTGTTCTTGATATTCTTGGCACGATTGGCGTAGCGAAGGGTCGTTATGGTCTCGTCATAGTTGTAGCTTGCTGGCCCAATATTGGCCACCATGATAGTTTTTGAGTTGCCTCCCAAGGAATCTGAGAGGGCAAGTGAGCAATTAATAATTACAGTAATTAAAACCCCACCAACCTTTTTATTTACCAAACTAGGATACATGGTAGAATCCAAAACCTTTATTTAAGTTCTTAACATATAACAATTGAATGATACGAAATGCATTATTTAAAACACCAACTTTATTATGTGTCACAAGTCTTTACTTTGCCCATGAAGTCTATTTCCTTCCTAACTATTTGGAGAGAGTCATACACCTACCAGCATGCTGCACAATGTGTGCAAAAAAAATCAGAGGCAAAATATATACAAAACCTCGAGAAGATTTCGATCTTACATTAACCCTTTGGGGGTCAACAGGTCCTCTCACAGACTTGTTCTCAGGGTCGGCCAAATTTCAAAAAAAAAATTATTTTTTTCTTATGAAAAGATAGAGAATCTTTTCCCGATCATAATGACACCAAAAGTATGAAATTTGATGGAAAACTTATGGAATTATACTCTCGCGAAGTTAGCAGTCTCGTCGATGTTTACGCATTGCCAATTTTGCCCACTTTGAGCCCTATTTTCGGCCAATTCCAGTGTACTAGTCGACAAAAATCATAACTATTTCGCTAGAACTCCATTTTTTCTATCGAATGAGTACAAGAAACCGCCCATTTACCGATTTCAACTATCCAATAAAGTGGTCAGAATCTTGCCAATTTCACACAAATTTCAAAAGATGCCAATTTCCGAATAGGGTCCAGAATAAACAAGCAAGACATTCCTGGCACTAAAATAACAAGTTCTCTGTTTGTTAGTCACATCCCCAGGCCCCTCTTATATTTCTTTGGCATTCCACTTTGAATTTTTATTCCTACAAAAAAAATAAGATTTACTGTTATGCAGACTACTGCATTAGTGTAGAAATGGTATAAATAATATCAGCGCACTTGTGAAAGAATATTAGACTCACCAGTTGATGTGTATTGGATGCTTGACATGATTTGTTTACTTTTGAACTTTGGTAAAAATCGAACATTTCTGCGACCTTGAGCTCAATTTCAAGGTACTTTTAATTGTAAAACCAGTCAAAATCATCCCAATTTCTGTAATATGTCTTCCCTTCAATAAAATGAGACCAAGAAAACTAGAATACAACAATAAATACCATACGAAAATACAGTGCAAAGTCGCTGTTTTAATCCAAAAACACGGTCAAAGTTTTTTTCTCTTTATGCACTGTGTGCTGCAGGATTTTTTTTTTATACTGCACACACTGACCACATAGACCCATTCTTTCATATGCAGGCCCACCAGTTTTCTCTCATTAGATTTGAGGCACTAGAATTTAGGCATACAAGTACTTCAAAAACCATGGGTCGTAAGATGTACTAGTACATCCGAAACCCCCAAAGGGGTTAAGACCACTACAATGTATTCACAAAATGCACTTCACTACTCAAAACATGACGAAGAAAGGGAGGCGGTAATTTCATGCACTGGCCAAAGAAGTATACCATCTTTTAGGTGTCAAGAAGAGCAGGATGTGAGTGGGGGAGGTGCGTGAGGCATTACGTAGAATGAAAGAGGGTAAAGCAGCTGGAACTGACGGGATCATGACAGAAATGTTAAAAGCAGAGGGGGATATAATGTTAGAGTGGTTGTTTTTTTTTTTTTTTAATAAATGTGATTATTGTAGGTAGTAGGTTGGTAACAGCAACCGCCCAGGGATACTACCGTCCTGCCTAGTGAGTGTAAAACGGAAGCCTGTAATTGTTTTACATGATGGAGATTTCAGGGGTCCTTTAAGAGGGAAAAAGGGGGGGGGGGTTTTTTAAACCCCCCCCGAAATTAAAAATTGAAAAAAAGGGAAGTTTGTTTTTTTTGGGAGGGGGGAAGGGGTGTTGAAGAAAAAAAAAAATTTTTTTTGGATGATGGGTTTGTGTGAATTTTTTTTTTTTTTTTAAAAAAATTTTTTTTTTTTTTAGGGGATCCCGGGGGTGGGGAGGCGATTGTTAAAAAAAAAAATAGAAATGAAAAAACGGGGAAGGTACAGGGATTGGAAAGAAATGTAAGTTCCTTTATATATAGGAATTGTTTACTGAATATACCAGAAGTGTAAGAGGTTATATATTGAAAGAATTAGAGGAAGACAGAATTAGGATTGTGGTAGCAAGGGGGTTTTAGAGTGGGAAAAGGGGATGTGTAGATCAAGTGTTCATTGAAGCTATATGGAACAGTATTTAAAAAAGGGTAGGGAAGTTTTCATTTCAAGTTTATGGATGTAAAAAAGGGCTATAATAGTGGACAGGGGAGCAATGTAGCAGATATTGCAAATATCGGAATACATAGTAAGTTATAATGCTGTAAAGTTTTTATGAGGATATGAAGGCTCAGTTAGGGTATGTGGGAAGAGGGAGACTACTTCCCAGTAAATAGTTTTAAAACAGGATGTGTAATGTCACCTGGTTGTTTAATACGTATATTATAAATGGGGTTGTAAAAGAAGTAATGCTAGGGTGTTTGGGGGAGGGGGTTGGGTTAAATTAGGGGAATCAAATAAAGGGAAGTGAAAGGGGGTTATTTTGTGAATATATGTGCTTTATTTCCTTGGGCATTCTAAAGAAAATTTAAAAGGGTTAGTGGGAAAGAGTTTTGGGAGTGTGGTGTAAAGGTAGAAAGTTGAACGTGAACATGAAAAGAGTAAGTTGTTTGAAGGAAATCAAATGATTTAGCTAAAGAAAATTGGGATATCAAATTGAGGAGTAGGGAAGAAGTGAATGTTTCCGAATTTTTTGGGGAGTTAAAGTGTCAGCGGAGGATTTTGAAGGATGAGGTTAATCATAGAATTAATGAAGGAAAAAGGCAAGTGGTGCATGAAGTAACCAGAGACAAAAAAACGTTATCTATGGAGGGAAAGAAGGGAATGTACGAAAGTATAGTGATACCAACACTCTTATATGGGTGTGAAGCTTGGGTTGTAAATGCTGTAGCGAGGAGACGGTTGGAGGCAGTAGAGTTGTCCTGCCTAAGGGCAATGTGTAGTGTAAATATTATGCAGAAAATTTGGAGTGTGGAAATTAGGAGAAAGTGTGGAGTTAATAAAAGTATTAGTCAGAGGGCTGAAGACGGGTTGTTGAGATGGTTTGGTCATTTAGAGAATGGATCAAAGCAGAATGACATGGAGAGCATATAAATCTGTAGGGGAAAAGGTTGGAGGGAGGGGGAAAAGGAGGTTTTGTGGGCGAGGGGCTTGGACTTCCAGCAAGTGTGTGTGAGCATGTTAGATAGGAGTGAATGGAGATGAATGGTATTTGGAACCTGATGATCTGTTGGAGTGTGAGCAGGGTAATATTTAGTAAAGGGATTCAGGGAAACCGGTTATTTTTTTATAGCCAGACTCGAGTCCTGGAAATGGGAAGTACAATGCTCGCACTCTAAAGGAGGGGTTTGGGATATTAGCAGTTTGGAGGGATATGTTGTGTATCTTTATAGGTATATGCTTCTAAACCATTGTGTTCTGAGCACCTCTGCAAAAACAGTGATTATGCGTGAGTGAGGTGAAAGTGTTGAATGATATTTTCTTTTTGGGGATTTTCTTTCTTTTTTGGGTCACCCTGGCTCAGTGGGAGACGGCCTACTTGTTAAAAAAAAAAAAATCAGGGAAACCGGTTATTTTTATATAGCCGGACTCGAGTCCTGGAAATGGGAAGTACAAAGCCTGCACATTACAGGAGGGGTTTGGGATACTGGCAGTTTGGAGGGGTATGTTGTGTATCTTTATATGTATGTGCTTCTAAACTGTTGTATTCTGAGCACCTCTGCAAAAACAGTGATTATGTTTGAGTGAGGTGAAAGTGTTGAATGATATTTTCTTTTTGGGGATTTTCTTTCTTTTTGGGTCACCCTGCTTTGGTGGGAGACAGCCAACTTGTTAAAAAAAAAAAAATTATGATATTCAGAAAAAATGGACATAACTAAGTATATACCAAGACAATATAATCCTAATGGATACAGTGGACCCCCAGTTTACGATATTATTTCATTCCAGAAGTATGTTCAGGTGCCAGTACTGACCGAATTTGTTCCCATAAGGAATATTGTGAATTAGATTAGTCCATTTCAGACCCCCAAACATACACATACAAACGCACTTACATAAATACACTTACATAAATACACTTACATAATTGGTCGCATTGGGAGCTGATCGTAAACCAGGAGTCCACTGTATATCTAAGTACAGTAGGACCCCCGTATCTGCAGGGGATATGTTCCAAGGACATGCCATGGATACAAAACTGTTGATAGTAGCAAACCCTATATATAAGTCCTATACATAACTATTATAAAATTTAAATGATAAATTATGCACAATAAGTGAAGCATTATTTTTTTTTTACTGATAGGAAGCACTTTACAGCTTCTCTTAGGATTTGAAGAACTGCCAGCTTCTCTACTTATGCACTTTCGGCCATTATTATGCAAAATTAAGAGGTATTTTTGGGCCAGAGTATACATGGATAACTGAAACCACAGATACCAAATCAGTAGATATGGGGGGCTCTAATGTATATACCAAGACAATATAACCCTAATGGATAAACCCAAGTATATACCAAGCTGTCTTTATCCACTTGCAAGGCATACAAATAAAGATACACAAGTCACTCAAAGTGAAGGAATGCTGTGCTAGAAACACCATTACATGTTGTCAGAGAAAGAATCAACATCGAGGCACCACATCACATGACCTCTTAATCCGAAGACACTGCATGATGTGGCAGAATGATGATGGGCGTGTTAACAATATTTCTATTACAGTAAACACTTGACATAAAAGACCTTAATATAGTTGACATTTAAAGTAGTGGACAAAATCCACTGGGTAAATAATATTTTCAACTTTGTTATTTTCAATGTTTACTGCAATATATCTACGTTGCATGTACAGCACTAGGTTACATATAGAGTATTTAAGCTCTTTCGTTTAATTTTAAACATTATTCTGATTTAACGGACACTCAAGCAATTCCTCTCCATTAGTTTCTTGTATGAAGGATTTACTTTGTTTTCATATCACTGTATTTTGAAACTGTCTAAAAGGAACACTGTACTTACCTTGCAAGAGACGTGTGAGTTTGGAATCTCTGTAGGGAATGTGAGTGCTCTTGCCGTCAACCAGTGCAGATATTACATTCCCCAAGGCAGAGAGAGACAAATTAATTTTCGTTGCTTCTTTTAATCTGTCTCCCTGAAAAGACATTGGTAGGAATGAATAATTAATTTTTTTTTATTCGTTAAGTATCCAGAATACTGTCTGAATTCTATATAAGCATTTTTTCTTTTAAGTGACATTACCAACAGAAACCTACCTAAATACCCAATGGAAACCTATCTATATACCCAATAGCAACCTACTTGTATATAAAATAGAAACCTACCCACATACCAAATAGAAACCTACCCACATACCAAATAGAAACCTACCCATATACCCAACAGAAACCTACCCATATACCCAACAGAAACCTACCCATATACCCAACAGAAACCTACCCATATACCCAACAGAACCTACCCATATACCCAACATACCCAATAGAAACCTACCCATATACCCAATAGAAACTTGCCTATATACCAAATAGAAACCAACCCATATACCCAATCTAGAAACCTAACAATATACCCAACAGAAACCCAATTATATACTCAATAGAAACCCAATTATATATATCCAAAAGAAAGCTACCTGTATAAATCTCATATAATAAATATATATAATCTGCAATCATTGATTTTTTAAGTGATCATATATAGCCAGACTTGAGTACTGGAAATGGGAAGTACAATGCCTGCACTTTGAAGTAGTAGTTTGGCATACTAGCAGTTTGGAGAGAGATGTTACATATCTTCATATATGCTTCTCAACTGTTGTGTCTGGGCACCTCTGCGAAGACTGATTATGTATGAGTGAGGTGAAAGTGTTGAATGATGATGAAAGTATTTTCTTTTTGGGAATTTCTTTCTTTTAGGTCAGCCTGCCTCAGGGAGATGGCCAATTTGTTGGGAAAAAAAAAAAATTGTAATGTCTTTGAGAACTAGTTACATGAAGTTGCATGGCTTCTTATAAACTACTGATTTCTGTACTTATAAATGTAAATCATCATTTCAAATTTAGTTTTCCTAGTAGTTTTTTCAGACCTCTCTTTCTATCACATAAATGTAATCATAATAATTGTAGAGTTGAAAACAAATGTTAGAGAAAGTACTGTATCAGCTTTTACCCCCTCACTTTGAGCAAATTCACTATAACGTGATGTCTTATTTTTTGGTAATGTGTTAAATGTGATGTACACTCTCCACGTGGTATCAGTGCAGTTTACAAAATATGCTGGAACACGTCTACAGTATAAAACGAGTGACACTGTTCTAACTCAGTTGTGTGCAAAAAATTTCCCCTGCAAAACAGAAAAACTAAAAATTTTTATTTAATGTCATTTACCATTAATCTTAAATTTCACTCAATTTTTAATAATAATAATATCTAGTTTTACATGTACCAGGTATACAGGCCTAGCTGACATAAATGATATACAGTGGACCCTCGACCAACGATGGCATCGATTAACGATAAATCCGACTAGCGATACATTTTAACGCAAAAATTTTGCCTCGACTAGCACTAAAAAACTCGACTAACAATATTCGTTCCGTCTGAGATGCGTCCACTTCTGGCCAGTGTTTACAAGCCAGCCAGCCACCGCGGTCGCTTCCAAGCATACAATCGGAACATTTCATATTATCACAGCCTTTTTAGTGATTGCACCTGCAAAATAAGTCACCATGGGCCCCAAGAAAGCTTCTAGTGCCGACCATACAGCAAAAAGGGTGAGAATAACTATGGATATGAAGAAAGAGATCATTGCTAAGTATGAAAGTGGAGTGCATGTCTCCGAGCTGGCCAGGTTGTACACAAAACCCCAATCAACCATCGCTACTATTGTGGGCAAGAAAACGGCAATCAAGAAACGTTCTTGCCAAAAGGGGCAACTATGTTTTCGAAACTGAGATCGCAAGTACTTGAAGATGTTGAGAGACTGTTATTTGGGGTGGAAAACGAAAAACAGATAGCAGGGGACAGCATCTCTCAAGTTTATCATATGTGAAAAGGCTAGGAAGTTTGCATGACAATTAATTAAAAAAAGCCAGCAACAGGGAATGTGTGAATTTAAGGCCACAAAGGTTGTTTGAGAATTTAACCCTTCAGGTCCCTCCCGTAGATCTACGCTTTAACGGGGATTCCAAACCGTAGAATCTACGCCATGAGCTCAGCTCACTCGATAAACGTGAGTGGGACATTTGGGCCTAGATATGAGAATACTCTATGTGGTATGTGTGCACCACATTTAAAAAAATCCGCAGCACACTGTGTAATGAGAAAAAAAAACGAATCATGATTTTTAAAAAACAGCAACTTTGCAGTGTTTTTCATATGTTTTTTATAGTTGTATTTGCGATTTCTTGGTCTCATTTGATAGAATGGAAGACATATTACAGAAACAGAGATGATTTTGATTGGTTTTAGCACTGGAAATGGCTTGAAACTGAGCTCAAAGTAGCGGAAATGTTAATTTTTGCCGATATTCAAGAGTAAACAAACGACCTCACACGTCTAATACAAAGTCAGCTGGTGGGTCTAATATACACTTCACAAATATGGTGATGATATTTATACAATTATTACAGTATTGCATAACAGTAAATCTTCTATTTTTTGGTGTGAATAAAAATTCATTATGTGAATAAAAAATCAAAATGGAATTTATTTGTAAAGCCTCAAAACATAACTAATGAACAGAGGAAATGTTAGTTTAGTGCCAGGAATACCTACATTGTTTATTCTGGACCCTATTTTGAAATTGGAATATTTTGAACTTGTGTTAAATTGGCCAAATTAACAATTTCCGATCACTTTATTTTGTAGTTGAAACAGTTGACTTGGCGATTTCTTGTGCTCAATCGATAGAATAGAAGTAATACTAGTGAAATAGCTAAGAATTTGGTTGATTGGAATAATGTAATTGACCTAAAATGGGAGTCAAAGTCGGCAAAATCGCCCGGATTCGTAAATATCGCTGACACATCAAAATTCGCGAGAGCATAATTTCGTCAATTTTCCACCAAATTTCGTACTTTTTGTTTTATTACCTTCACAAAAAGATTCTCTACGATTTCATAAGAAAAAATAAATTTTTTTTTGAAAATTCTTGGACACTGGTGCGTGACTCCAGATTTGGGCCTTGGACCTTGAAAGGGTTAAAGGGAAGGGAAGTAACCCCGGAAAAAGACTTGCCCCCTCAAGTCCTAATGGAAAGGGATTCCCCTTCTAAACACTAAGACCATCAACACTCCCCTCCTCCCATCCCATCAATCATCACCACATCTTCAATAAAGGTAAGTGTCATGTAACTGTGCATGTCTTCTTCAGTTTGTGTGTATTAAAATTAACATTTCATGTGGTAAAAACAATTTTTTTTCATACTTTGGGGTGTCCTACACGGATTAATTTGATTTCCATTATTTCTTATGGGGAAAATTAACTTGACTAACGATAATTTTGACTAACGATGAGCTCTCAGGAACGGATTAATAGCGTTAGTCGAGGGTCCACTCTATGTACTACTATAGAGAAAGCCACTTGTTATGCAGAGCATTTTGGGCAAATTAGGTCAATTTTGTCTCAGGATGCGACCTACAACAGTCAACTAACACCCAGGTACTTATTTTATACTGATGGGTAAACAGAGACAACCGGTGTAAGGAAATATGCTCAATGTTTCAACCCTCGCTGGGAATCAAACCCGGACATCACTGTGTGAAGTGAGAGTTTTGCCACCAGGCCCCGGGTCTGGTGCTAAAAGTTTCTAAATGCAAAGTAAAATTTTCACAGCAAACAAACTTTTAAGGACAACCTCACTGCAACAAGCCTCTAGATACCATACATTCACAAAAGGTTTTATATCATACATTTTCAACTTCTTCAAATTCAAGTTGATGAATATACACAACATACTGCAAAAGGGTATTACAGTAACATTAACCAAAATTTGGGCTCTCTTCGCTTACCACAGTGCCAGTTTTAGACTGTCGTTCAGACCCAGCCAAGTCAACGAGGTTGAGCTTGCCAACTCTAATACGGCTTTTACCCTTCTCATCAACATCACTGCATTCAATGGTTATGATAAAAATGGCATGTGACCGAGAGCTATGAAGGTTCATATTTGTCGACCTGAAATGTTAAATTATTTTGATACTGCAATCCATAAAAAATATTCTTATAAACTATATTCACTAAGCTTACACTTAATAATAATAGTTTAATCTTAAGTCTTACACTTTATATGTATACACTATTAAAATAACGCTACAGCCTTACACAAAAAACATGTTTTATTAAAATAATGCAATAAACTCATCATTCACATGAAATTAGTTCATTAGTACTATATGCACTGTATAAACTTCAATAAATCAATAGCTAATGCTTTTTCAACAATTCTTCCTTCTTTGGGTCACTCTGCCTTGGGGGAAGATGGCTAATAAGTAAGATAACTTAATAAAGTACAAAACCAATATAAAATAAATTAAAACTTGTGCTCCAAGACACGAAAATACTGAATAAAGGTACAGATAGGAAAAAGTTCCCTACTGAGGATGCCGTATTTCATCGCAGGATACAGCTGCTTAGAAAACAGAGATGGACAGCCCCAATGGTAAGAGAAGAGACATCTATGGAGGCTGAGCCAGGAAGGTGTATTTTGCAAACTCCTGCCTGACAGCAAAGTATCACCTGTGGCAATATTTTTTGATAGGAAAGGCCAGATATTTCTTCATTCCCTTGAGAAGGCTATACAAAAGTAGGAGGATGTCCCTACATCAAGAAAAAAAGTAAAGCATTAATAAAAGAGGACAATTCATGAATAGACTTTTCAAAGTTTTTATGCTGATAAGTGGCAAGGAAATTTCCCAATAGCTTCAATTGTCACCTCCAGGAGGCGATTATTAAGATATCAAACACACTTACGATAGTTCACCTAGAGGCCATATACCTGGAACAGCGTGAAGAACTAGTGAAAATGTTACAAGAATTCTCCTAGGCAACAGCTAACCATCAGGAAGTTGAGGTAGATAACAAAAAGAACTCTTGACATCTTTGTTGATCTGCTGGAACATCTTAACCACACACTCTTCCACGATGAATATTTGAGCAAATTTAACAGGCCAAAGAGTATGATCACAGAAGTCTTGGGAATGTCAGACATGACAAGAATTGAGTTGATCACACAACCAGCTCTATTTCTGTAGCTCTGTGGAGTGCAAGAGAAAATTTTTTGTATTGTAGGATGAGGCCACAATCCTGCCAAGCTCTGCCAAGGCCATGGTAATCACTTTGGCACCATTTTCAAGAATGTAACTACCATCTTAATTGATGTTCTGCTGTAAGTATGCAAATTGACAGGCTTGACAGGAACTGCACCTGTCCATGAGAGGGACTCCCACTAGTATTTATATACCCTCTACCTATCTTCCTTTGCGTAACAGGAAACATCAAGCAATTGTACAAAGAACTCATCATCCACATCTTTAACACTGCTGAAAACTTTCTTGGCTTATTGCTGATGGTTTAATATAATGTGCTTGCCTTGTTGTAGGATGCTGGACTGAATCACATGATTCTCCCTACCACAGAATGAGCACTAATAATCATTTGTAGATCACCATATATAATAACCTGAAGAGTATGTGAATGTGCATAAATATTTTTTTTTTTTAAATTCTCTTGGAATTAAATAATGAAATATACCACCACTGCCTCCAGCCTCACCACTTCAAAGCTTAAAACTCATACCGCTCACCCAGGTAAAAGTGATACATTACTCTTAGCCTCCACAGGAAAAATTTACGGAGACAAAAAGAGGAATGTCCCAGGAAATAGTGGTAAAAACACTGTTATATGGTTATGAAGCATAGATTTTAAATGTTGCAATGAGGAGGAGACTGGAGGCAATAGAGAAGTCACATTTGAGAGCACTGTGTGACAAGAATATTATGCAGAGAATTCAGAGCATAGAAATTAGATGACAAGAGTGAAAACACCAAATGCATAATTCAGAGGGCTAAGGAGGGGTTGTTGAGGTGGTGGTGACATTTTGAGAGAATAGAACAGACCTGGATGAATTTGAGGGTTTGTATTTCTTGGGTGGGTAGAAGGAAGGAGGGGTTGGGGTCATCCTAGGATAGGTTGGGGGGAATAATGGTTAGGGGATTTTAACCCATAAATGGTCCAAACATATATATACGATTTTACCGCTACTGCCCCAAACGTATATTTACGTTTCATTTTTCTTTCCTTCAAAATTGGTGCATAGGCCTGAGTCGCCTAGACATGAGAGAATGGGTGTGCGCACTCAGTGTGCACCGTATGAAAAAATCGGGGATGCCTGGGTACCGCATGGTAGCACCAGTTACATTCAGCTCCATCTTGGGTCAATATCATGGCACCTTCACTCACGCCTCGTCATATTAGCGCACTATTATTCGAGGAAAGTAATACAGAATGTCAGTTTAGTGGATTTGACACAGATGTGGCTACTAATAATCAAGGAAATAGTGAAAATATTGACGATAACCCAGATGACCCTCAGCCCATCACCTCTGGGGTGTCCAGTGTGGCCACACCAGACCCTCTGGAGTGGCAAGTGTTACCCATAGGCAACTACACAAGAGTAAACTATCATTTTCCCGGTGTTTTAGCAATAGTGAAAGTGATAGTAAGTGACGATGAGATTGATTTTATGCCAATAGAGGATTCGTCCAGTGAGAGTGATCATTATTCACCAGTGAAGCGTACTTTTAGGCAGCGTCGCCTACGTTCAGGCAGTGTGCCATTTGCAGTCGACAGCAAGGGTCATGGCAGGTCACAATCCAAAACCCTGGCCACTGAGAGTGAAAGTGATAATGAAGGTGAATATGCGGGGAGGGAGGAAGTAGTGGTGGGTGGCACGGTGCCTGGACCACATGGCACGGTGGGTGGACAGAAAAAGGACCGCCCAGCACCCCCTCAACCTTGTGCTGCTTCCACTCCTGTCCCCCCTCCTGCTCCCCCACGCCCCATGCCAGAGGTCCACCCTGCACCATGTGGCCAAGAGTGGATCTGGACACAAAGTATATTCGTGCCACAGCCTTTTGATTTTGATGCGAGTGGAAGTGGCATCCTGCCAGAATGTCCCATAACGAATGAGTCTACAGAGTTAGACTTTTTCCAGTTATACTTTGATGAGCCTATAATGAATTTGATAGTGACCCAGACGAACAATTATTACCACTATATCATGGACAATACAGCAGAGGTTGGGGAGTCGTCACGGCTGCGCAGATGGAAAGATACAACAGTGGCTGAAATGTATTTATTCCTTGTCACTGTCATGCTTATGCCACATATCTATAAGACCAATATACGTAACTACTGGGCCACAGACTAATGTAGACAGCCTGTACTGTCTGCACAGACAGCCTATGCTGTCTGCCAGCTTAGTTCATATTTCGCGGCACTCACGTGCTGCCCTCTAGGCCTGCCCAAGTCAGTGGGACGCTGGTCCCACTCGCTCACTCACTCAGCGACCTAGCAGCAGTCAACATGTCCTACTAGCTCTCTCCCTTGTGGGCATGGCCCTACCAGGCCATGGGCACAACACACAAGCCTGTGTACCCACCATGACTTTGCAAATAAAAAAAGAAGCCTCCAAACACGTATCATTGAACCCCGCTCTGCAAGAATCGCCAAATAAACTCGTTATAAATGGTGGGAAGCGGTGGTCACAGCAGTTGTGTTTGCCCGGAGAGAGGAAGGGATGAAGTCATCTTCACTTCATCACCCTACACAAGATACATCTGCTCTCTCAACGAGTTATCCTGATGTTGTGTCTGCACGTTTCAGCATCCAGACACAGGTACAAGCAGGATCTAGCCAAAATTTATCCCATGCTACAGCACCCCACGCTGTTTCTCAAGTCACGTGTTTAGCGTCACTTGTATGCTCTGCTGCTGTTGCTCAGCACAGTTGTTTCAGCAAGCCATAGGTGAGTTTTGTGGTGATTTCTGCGTCCAGTGTGAGTTTTTCCATGTGTTTGTAGAGAGAAGAGGAGGAAGTAGCCGTTCCTTGCCTCGCCCACGCTCGCCCTGCTGTACACTCACCTCACCAGCCTACCATACACTCACCACTGCCCACTCCCTCTGCTGTGTTTTCTGCTGTTTTTCGTGTGAATTTATTGCCGGTGCTGTGTATCCAAGTGCCCGAGGCCACTAAGCAACGTGGATCAGCAAGCCCCGGGGATCAGCAAGCCCCGGGGATCAGCAAGCTCCGTGGATCAGCAAGCCCCGTGGATCAGCAAGCCACGTGGATCAGCAAGCCACGTAGATCAGCAAGCCATGTGGATCAGCATGCCACGTAGATCCCGACGCCACGTGGGGTGTGGACGATGTCACGTGGACCTACGAGCCACGTGAGTTGCCAGATGTCCCAGGCCACATGCTGTGGTCTGCTGCCCACATAACACTGACGTCACCGATGCTGCTGCCCAACTTCGTGACGTCACGATGTCTGCTGATGTCACCTCGCGATGTCACGCCTGACATCACATGTCACGCCTGACATCACATGTCACATCAAGTGTTTCAGTAATTATGTCAGTATTGTCGAGAAGATTGAGAGAAGATATAAGTCGTGTGTTAATTAATTCCTCTCAGTGTTCTCGTATGTTAGTGTATGGCTTAGTGTCAATTTTGTGCACAGAAAAGTATCATTTGCTAGTTTAAGCCATGTTGTACCGCATGTACTGCGGGTGTGTGTAAAGTTTTCCGTGTGACCAGTGTGGTCTGCGGCCAGACCCTTGTGTAGCACCTTGTGTAGTCACCCGGTGTGACCAGAGCATTTGACAGCTGATATTAGTCAGCCCTGAGCGTCTTGAGCCCCTCTGTACAGAAAGCTCTTATGCTCGTCGCTTATAGATGTTCTGCAGAATCGTACCTGCTACAATTCCCATCGAGATTTGTTTCACTTCACCTCCAGACCTTCAGAGTGCAGTTATATGTAGAGAAACAAGTCTGGGGACGCTTAGACTAATCTCTGCTTTAACTCCAACTGCCGAGAGAATGACACTCGTCAAGCCACAGTTAGCCCTGTCAGCAGGCGCTGTGTCAGCCTCGTGTCACAAGCTTCAGTGAGCTCCTGCACAAAGATGATGTCACTTTGACTGCTAGCTCGCTCACTGCAGTCTGGTGTATGATGCTACGACTCCCAGATGTTTCGCCCAGTCATCTCTGCCCCGACTCGCTCCACGACTCACTCCACGCTCGCCGGCAGTGACAGCCCAGCGGCAGTACCAGTCGAGAAGTGTCCTCCTGAGTCGATTGCCACAAGAAGTCCTGCCCAGTTGCCGAGTTTAGACGACGCCTCACTCGAGGGGACCAGCATGTCGTGCCCCAGGTTGAGTGAAACCTGCAGTGACTCCTACGACGACTGCTTCACCATTCTAGAGGAGACCGTAACCTGTTAGGTCACAGCTCAGCCGCCGTGATGTCTCCTGTGTTGCAGTATCTGTCCAGACGCAGGAATGCGTGCAGTGATGCCCATCGACGCTCACTGCCTATGACCACGATGTTTAGCACACCCCACATGTTTTTTTTCTTCCCTCCCTGTAGGAAGTTTTTTTTCCATGTCCATATGTATATACATGTTTTTATTTTTTGTTCTGTGCCCTGTTCCTACGAGAGAGAGACCGAGTTTTTTTAACCACCAATATTGTCATGTCGGGACGACGCGAGGTAGGTGGCCGAGCATATGTAGACAGCCTGTACTGTCTGCACAGCCTATGCTGTCCGCCAGCTTAGTTCATATTTTGCAGCACTCAGGTGCTGCCATCTAGGCCTGCCCAAGTCAGTGGGACGCTGGTCCCACTCGCTCACTCACTCAGCGGCCTAGCAGCAGTCAACATGTCCTACTAGCTCTCTCCCTCGTGGGCATGGCCCTATCGGGCCATGGGCACAACACACAAGCCTGTGTACCCACCACGACTTTGCAAATAAAGAAAGAAGCCTCCGAACACGTATCATTCACTCACCCGCTACCAGAATTACCAAATAATCTTGTTATACTAGTTTATCAGTACTCCTGTCTTCTGTGACCTCCTTCCCTGCAACAGATTCACTCTGTTGCTACAAATGTTGCATTTCTCAGACAGGAATAGACCCAACAAAAATGACCTTCTATAAAAAATACAGGAAGTGTTTATCTATTTTTTTTTTTTATTATCACACTGGCCGATTCCCACCAAGGCAGGGTGGCCCGAAAAAGAAAAACTTTCACCATCATTCACTCCATCACTGTCTTGCCAGAAGGGTGCTTTACACTACAGTTTTTAAACTGCAACATTAACACCCCTCTTTCAGAGTGCAGGCACTGTACTTCCCATCTCCAGGACTCAAGTCCGGCCTGCCGGTTTCCCTGAATCCCTTCATAAATATTACTTTGCTCACACTCCAACAGCACGTCAAGTATTAAAAACCATTTGTCTCCATTCACTCCTATCAAACACGCTCACGCATGTTTATCTATATGAAGCACAAATTCAGTGCATACTTTTATCCCTTCAAGAACATTGTTGTTGATGAGTCCTTGATTCTGTTCAAGGGACACCTGTCATTCAAGCAATATATACCAAGCAAACGTCATTGCTTTGGTATAGAACTTTTTGTTGTGTGACTGTGAGAGTGGTCTTGTGTTGGATGTCATTGTATACACCGGGAAAAAAACACTCGACGATACCAGGTACATGTTGGGCATTTCTGGTGATGTTGTTTGAAAAATGATAGAACCATACCTTCGCAAGGGCCATATACATTGTACACAGACAACTGTTACACAAGTCCTATGCTCGCTGATTTCCTACGTGTGAACAATGCTGCTATGTGTGGAACAGTGAGAAGGAATAGAAAACGTATGCCAAGGTTCAGTGAAGGCAGTGGTGAAGGTGCAGTGCATGCGTTTCATGCCAATGACATCATGGCAATGACGTGGCATGACAAACAGGACGTGACACTGCTGTCAACCATCCACAGAAATGAGATGGTACAAACAGACAAAGTGAACAGGAAGACCAATGAATGCATTGTAAAGCCAGCTGCTGTCGTGGATTACATGAATAACATGCGACTAGCTGACAAGTGTGACATGATGACAAGCTTCGTTGACTGTGTGCGTAGGAGTCGCAAGTGGTATATAAAACTGTTTTTCCACCTCGTAGACATCACAGTGCTCAATTCATTCAATATGAATGAAATAAAGACTGGAAAATGACAATGTTTTACAGAATTCTCCCTGAATGTCGTAAAACACATAGCAAAAAAGTATGGTACCACACCTGTACCTGCCCCTCAACAGTGACCTGTCACACCACAACCTGTCCCCCAACCACAACCACAGCCAGTGGGGAAAGTGCCAGACCGAATAATCCCTAACTGTCACTAACTGGTACCAATACCACCTACCCCAAAGAAGCATTCCCAGAAAAAGCGTGTTGTGTGTGCGACCACCACAAAATGACCCCAACAGCGGAAGGACACACGATACATGTCACCAGTGTGGGGTGGCACTCTGTATGAGTCCATGTTTCATGGAGTATCATACAATCATGGAGATCTAGAAACATAAATGGGACATGTAAATACTTGTATATAGTTGTAGATTATAGTGTGAGATTCAGCCAGGTGTGCAAAATCACCTATCAGTGTGTACATGTGTGTTTGTGACAGTATGATAACAATTTTGTATATAATATTGGTGAATAAGCAACAATTGACATTGAAATCAAAAGATTTACTATAAAATATAAGTATCATATCATGAAAACCAAGAAAAGTGAAAAAAAAAAAAAAGCGGTAAATATGTAGAATTTCTGCAAGCGGCAGCACTCCATATTGCCATCAGGTGATTGCCAAGTGCCAACTTTGCACCCTTCTATCTCGGTAAGTACCTGACCCTAAATTTTTTTTTGTTACCCTATAACACTTAGAAAAATGTGCTCTTTATTTCTATAAAAGAAAATGATTTTTTTATTTTTCAAAATATCCGGGGCACTGGGGTAGCGAACGTATATATAAGTTTGGACCGTTTACAGGTTAAGTACCAATCAAATTATGAAATGTAAACACACATTGTAACCTTAGCAAAGAAATAAAATTTTATTTGATTTTAATATTTTATAATTACACCTACCATCCGACTTACAACCTGCTCAACATACGACCACTCGACTTACGACCATGTTTTTTATGCCAAATTTCTGGGAAATAAACAACTGTTTGTGTTGCACACAGTGCTTATCCTAAACCTTAAAGTATAAAATACAGTACTAACAGCATAAAAAGTAAAGTAAAAAATGAAATACCAAAATAAAACAATAAAATAAAATCATTACAAAAGTGTGATGTTGATATTCAGTAGTAAGGTTCGACTTACATCCATTTTGACTTACGACCGGTTGGTCGGAACCAAGCTTGGTCATAAGACGGATGGTACCTGTAGATAGGTGTACTAGAGTCCTGGAGGTGGGAAGTACAGTGCCTGAACCCTGAAGGATGGGCGAGGATATTGAAGTTATGAAGGTTATCTGAATTGTGATGCCTACACTTGTGAATGAGCGATGATGAATGAGTGTCCCCTTTTTGAGTTGCCCTTCCAGTGTGGAAGAAAGCTTGTGTGTTAAAAGTTGTAAAATTATAATGCTACTCAAGATATATAATAAATGTATTTAACCTTACCCAACAGCTCTGTTTTGGTTACCAACAGTCATAACATGCTGGATTTCATTGACGCTCTTGCAGACAAACTGCTGGAGATCTCGTACATATACCCCAGTGTCTGGCCGCTCCTTTAATTCAAGTCGTTTCTTTTGGTCTTTTCCCAGCAAGTCTCTAGAAAGTATAATACATCAGTAATTGTGAGAGTATTCAGGTGTTCTTTGCTACATATTTAAACATGTGAATATTTTTTAATTCAAATTTCTTTAACCCTTTGAGGGTCGACAGGCCCTCTCCGAAACTCGTTCTCAGGGTCGGCCAAATTTAAAAAAAAAAAAAATTATTTTCTCTTATGAAAAGATAGAGAATCTTTTCCCGATCATAAAGACACCAAAAGTTTGAAATTTGATAGAAAACTTACGGAATTATGCTCTCGCAAAGTTAGCGGTCTCGGCGATGTTTACGCATCGGCGATTTTGCCCACTTTGAGCCCCATTTTCGGCCAATTTCACTGTACTAGTCAACAAAAAACATGAATATTTCGCTAGAACTCCATTTTTTCTATCGAATGGGTGCAAGAAACCACCCATTTATGAAATTCAACTATCCAGTACAGTGGTCAGAATTTAGCAATTTTGCCAATTTCACACAAATTTCAAAAGATGCCAATTTCCGAATAGGGTCCAGAATAAACAAGAAAAACATTCCTGTCACTAAAATGACATTTCCTCTAGTCATTAGTCACGTCTCAAGGCCCCTCTTATATTCTTTTGCTTTCCACTTTGAATTTTTATTCTCACAAAAATATAAGATTTACTGTTATGCAGACTACTGCATTAGTGTAAAAAATGGTATAAATATTATTGGTGCACTTGTGAAAGAATATTAGACTCACCAGTTGACGTGTATTGCACGCTTGGCACGATTTGTTTACTTCTGAAGTTTGGTAAAAATCGAACATTTCTGCTATTTTGAGCTCAATTTCAAGGCACCTTTCATTGTAAAACCAGTCAAAATCATCTCAATTTCTGTAATATGTCTTCCATTCTATAAAATGAGACCAAGAAAACTAGAATACAACAATAAATACCATACGAAAATACACTGCAAAGTCGCTGATTTATTCCAAAAAAATGGTCAAAGTTTTTTTTTTCTCATTATGCACTGTGTGCTGCAGGATTTTTTTTAGACTGTGTACACTGACCACATAGACCCATTCTTTCATATGAGGGCCTACCAGCTTTCTCCCACTAGATTTGAGGCCGCTAGAATTTATGCGTACTAGTACGTCAAAAACCCCTACGCGTAAGACGTACTAGTACGACCAAAACCCTCAAAGGGTTAATAACTAATGGCGAGTATCATCATTCTAATGAAAGTGCAGTTGTACCCCGAGTTTCAAACTGCTCCCAACTCGAACAATTATGTAAGTGTATTTGTGTATGTGCATTTCTAAGTGTATTTTTGGGGGTCTGAAACAGACTAATCTAATTTACATTATTCCTTATGGGAACAAATTCATTCGGTATTGGCACTCAAACAGCATTCTGGAATGAAATAAGTTCAAAACTCGGGGTACCACTGTAAATAACAATGATTAGTGACTTTCTGGTTGAAAGCTTAAAATTTTTATATTCAAATTTGATATTTTTATTAGAAACTATTAAAGAATATTTTTATATAAACAGATTCACATAACACAGCTATTGTTACCAATGGGCAGCAGTTAGGCAACTTTATTCAGAAACGTTTCGCCTACAAAGTAGGCTTCCTCCGTCGAGTACAAAAGTAGGCAGGAACAGTAGAGATGTGAAGACAATGTAATCAGTCCATCACCCTTGTAGTTGGAGATTTGAGGTTGTCAGTCCCTCAGCCTGGAGAAGAGTTCTGTTCCATAGTCTGAAACAATCTGAAGAAACAAGTGACAGTGTAGAGACTTGTATACTGTCGGAAGAAGACGTGCAGGGTGGTAGTATATCATTTTAATATTCACTCTGTCAGACACTGCAACACAAGGGCATCTTGGTACAAAAGAGAAAACACCTTGGACAAATTTTTCAAGAGAGAATTGTTGGATCTGAGAGGGACGTGGCCTCTCAGTGACTACATTCTCTCTACTACCACCCTGCGCGTCTCCTTCTGACAGTATACAAGTCTCCACACCGTTGCCTGCTCCTTCAGAATGTTTCAGACTATGGAACAGAACTCTTCTCCAGGCTGAGGGACTGACAACCTCAAACCGCTGACTACAAGGATGATGGCCTGATTACATCGTCTTCACACCTCTACTGCTCCTGCCTACTTTTGTACTCGACTGAAGAAGCCTATTGTGTAGGCGAAACGTTTCAGAATAAAGTTGCCTAACTGTTGCCCACGTGTCTCACCTACCAACCTCTCGGCATTGTATACCATTTTAATATTCACTCTTATTTAACATGCTCATGCACGCTTGCTGGAAGTCCAAGCCCCCTCACCCACAAAACCTCCTTTACTCCCTCCCTCCAACCTTTTCAGGAACGACTGCTACCCAGCCTTCCTTCCCCTACAGATTTGCACACTCTCTAAGTCATTCTACTCTGTTCCATTTTCTCTAAATGACCAAACCATCTCAACAGCCCCTATCACACCTCCTAATTTCCATACTACGAATTCTCTGCATAGTATTTACACCACATATTGCCCTTAGACACGACATCTCCACTGCCTCCAGCCGCCTCCTCGCTGCAGCATTTGCAACCCATGCTTCACACTCGTAAGAGTGTTGGTACCACTATACTCCCGTACATACCCTTTTTTGCCTCCATGAATAATGTTCTTTATCTCCACAGATACCTCAATGCATCACTCACTTTTTTTACCTTCATCAATTCTATGGTTTACCTCATCCTTCATAAACCCAGCTGCTGACAAGTCAACTCCCAAATATCTGAAAACATTCACTTCCTCCAAACTCCCTCCCTCCAATGTGATACCCAATTTTTCTTTATCTAAATTGGTTAATACCCTCATCACCTTATTCTTATCTATATTCACTTTCAACTTTCTACCTTTACACACCCTCCTAAACTCATTCACTAGCTTTTGCAACTTTTCTTTAGAATCCCCCATTTATCCCTGCTATATTCCTGCACACAGTGGCAGCTAGTTAAGAGAGCTTCAGTCTTTGTTTACAGGATTAATACTCATTTGTGTTTAGAGTGCCTGTGACATGCCTATGATTGGTTTAGAGAGTTCTTGTACCACTGAAGTCTGGCCTGTGGCCAGGCTTCCTTGCTGATTTACTAATCAACCAGGCTGTTACTGATAGCAGCCTACATGCCTTTATATTATTATTATTATTACAATCATAACACTAAACTGACAAGGGTCATACAGCACATGCCTATATAGCCATCATAACATAACTGATGAGGCACTTCCAGCCCACCTTTTTTCCCACTAATATTTCCAATATCTGCTAGGAGCATGATGAATAGTCATAGACTATTAACGCACTGTTCTCTAACTGTGCCTATGGCACTCCTGCCCAAGCAGACAAGCAAGATATGCACAACAGTTGGGTATCCATTTTTCTCTATTCAACTAAGAGCAAGTGTCATGTTTTAGAAATAAACATTCCCAAATGTGGCACATCTCTAACCAAATATACAAGGTATGATGTAGAACATAATGAAAGTAGTTTGTTCGATTATGTATTGGTGGATAAAAGGTTGATGGGTAGCTCCAGGATGTACATGTTTATAGAGGGGCAACTGATATATCGGATCATTATTTAGTTTTAGCTACAGTTAGAGTAAGAGGTAGATGGGACAAGAGGAAGGTGGCAACAACAAGTAGCAGGGAAGTGAAAGTGTATAAACTAAGGGAGGAGGAAGTTCAGGTGAGATATAAGCGACTGTTGGCAGAAAGGTGGGCTAGTGCAAAGATGGGTAGTGGGGGGGGGGGGGTTGAAGAGGGATGGAATAGTCTTAAAAATGCAGTATTAGAATGTGGGGCAGAAGTTTGTGGTTATAGGAGGGTGGGTGCAGGAGGAAAGAGGAGTGATGGTGAATGAGAAGTAAAGAGTGTGATAAAAGAGAAAAAGTAGTTATGAGGGGTTTTACAAAGCAGAAGTGTAAAAGGAAGAGTGGATGTAGATTTTATAAAAAAAGGGGAAGAGAGTGGTGGGAGTGTCAAAAGGAGAGCAGAGATAGAGTGGGAGAGGCACTTGTCTAAGAAATTTTAATGAAAAGTAAGAAAATTTTGGGAGGTTAACAGTTAAGAAGACCTAGGAAGAATGGATTTGTCAGTAAAAACAGAGTAGGGGAGTTAGTAATGAGGAGAGGAGGTATAGTTTAGGACAAGAATATTTTGAAGAACTTTTAAGTTGTTGAGGAAAAAGGGAGGCGTTAATATTATCTACTGCGCAGGAGGTACTAACCTCTTTTAGGAGTGAAGAAGAGCGATTGTAATTGGGGGAAGGTACGTGAGCATTACGTAGAATGAAAGGGGTATAAGCAGCTGGAACTGATGGGATCATGACAGAAATGTTAAAAGCAGGGGGGAGGGGGGATGATATAGTGCTGGAGTTGTTGGTACTTTTGTTTAATAAATGTATGAAAGAGGGGAAGGTACCTAGGGATTGGCATAGAGCATGTATAGTCCCTTTATATAAAGGGAAGGGGGACAAAAGAGATTGTAAAAATTATAGAGAAATTAGATATACCAGGAAAAGTGTAGGGTAGGGTCATAATTGAAAGAATCAGAGGTAAGACAGAATGTAGGATTGCGGATGAGCAAGGAGGTTTCAGAGTGGGTAGGGGATGTGTAGATGAAGTGTTTACATTGAAGCATATATGTGAACAGTATTTAGATAAAGGTAGGGAAGTTTTTATTGCATTTATGGATTTAGAAAAGGCACATGATAGAGTGCATAGGGGAGCAATGTGGAAGATGTTGCAAGTATATGGAATAGGTGGTAAGTTATTAAATGCTGTAAAGAGTTTTTATGAGAATAGTGAGGCTCAGGTTAGGGTGTGTAGGAGAGGGAGACTACTTCCTGGTAAAAGTAGGTCTTAGACAGGGATGTGTAATGTCACCACGGTTGTTTAATATATTTATAGATGGGGTTGTAAAAGAAGTAAATGCTAGGGTGTTCAGGAGAGAGGTGGGATTAAATTATGGGGAATCAAATACAAAATGGGAATTGACACAGTTACTTTTTGCTGATGATACTGTGCTTATGGGAGATTCTAAAGAAAAATTGCAAAGGTTAGTGGATGAGTTTGGGTGTGTGTGTAAAGGTAGAAAGTTGAAAGTGAACATAGAAAAGAGTAAGGTGATGAGGGTATCAAATGATTTAGATAAAGAAAAATTGGATATCAAATTGGGAAGGAGGAGTATGGAAGAAGTGAATGTTTTTAGACACTTGGGAGCTGACGTGTCGGCGGATGGATTTATGAAGGATGAGGTTAATCATAGAATTGATGAGGGAAAAAAGGTGAGTGGTGCGTTGAGGTATATGTGGAGTCAAAAAACGTTATCTATGGAGGCAAAGAAGGGAATGTATGAAAGAACAGTAGTACCAACACTCTTGTATGGGTGTGAAGCTTGGGTTGTGAATGCAGCAGCAAAAATGAAAGCGGCCATGTTTATACAAAATCCCCCTATTTTGGCGAAATTTACGATTGCCGAGAACTACGAAAAGCAAGGGACCACTGTATATGCATGAAAGAAGGAATGGTACCTAAGGGTTTCTTTTTGGGGTCACCCTGCCTGTGTGAGAGTCAACTAGTGTGATATATAGAATATACAAAATACAGCAACCTGAAATAAAGTTAGTATAATGTACTGAGAAAACTAATTCAATATATCTTTTTATGTTGTAGATGTCTTCCAGGCCCTTGGCATAAGTACTGCATTCAATCAGGCCATAAACCATGCTAATCACATATGGCAACTGTACATTGCATATACAGAATTACTGACAGAAACAGGACATTACACAATAGCTAATTCATATAAGCAAATTTACATAAAGCAAGGAAGACCTGTATTATGACCCCAGAGCTACTACAAGTCAACTTTCTTTCCTCCATAATGACCAGCCTGTATTGCTGACCATAATGTGAGTTACACACATACAGTAAAACTTTGGCATAACAGACTAATAATGGGCTTGGGGTGGCTGATGAAACAAAAATCTGTTGAATCACAATGCCTGATGCAGCAGGCTAATTCTGTTGTATAAGAGAATGCTTGTCACGGATTACCACAATGGATAAATGCCTGATGAGAACTTAATCCATTGCACCGAGTCCAGTTTTCTATTCTTAGCAGAGTATACTGGACCCTCCCTTTTCGTGATTAATCCATTCCAGAGAGTCAGACGAAATGTGAAATTCATGAAACCTGAAACCATTTTCCCCATAAGAAATAATGTAAATCAAATTAATCCGTTTCAGACACCCAAAAGTATAAACAAAATATACATTTTATTGACAATAACTATATTACATGGCTTATTTATCTATCACAATTCATCTAATATGACATAATAAACAATATTAACCCTTTGATTGTTGCAACCCCCAATCCTGAGGTGTCTCCTGGAGTCGCAAAATTTAAAAAAAAAAATTATTTTTTCTTATGAAACGATAGAGAATCTTTTCCCGATTGTAATGACACCAAAAAAACGAAATTTGATGGAAAACTGATGGAATTATGCTCTCGCGAAGTTAGCGACCTCGGTGCTGTTTACAAATCGGCGATTTCGCCCACTTTGAGCCCTATTTTTGGCTAATTCCATTTTTCCAGTCGCCCAAACTCATAGCTATTTCTTTAGAACTCCATTTTTTCTATCGATTGAGTACAAGAAACTCCCCATTTACCGTTTTTCAACTCCCTAATAATGTGGTCAGAAATTTGCAATTTGGCCAATTTCACGAAAACTAAAAAATATGACAATTTCAAAATAAGGTCCAGAATGAACAATGCAGACATTCCTGGCTCTAAAAAAAACTTTTTCTTTGCTCATCAGTCATGTCTCCGGGCCCCTCTTATATTCCCTTGCTTTCTATTTTGATTTTTATTCAAACAAAAAATAGAAGACTTACTATTATGCAGACAACTGCAATACTGTAAAAATTGTATAAATAACATCAACCCATTCATGACTGCATATTAGAATGGTTTAGTTGGACATTTATTGGACAATGGCATCATTTATTTACTTTTGAACATCGGAAAAAAATAAAACTTTTCCCCCTACTTTGAGCTCCATTTTCTAGGTTCTTTTTATAGTAAAATCAATCAAAATCACCTCTATTTCTATAATATGTTTTCCATTCTATCAAATGAGACCAAGAAAACGAGAATACAACCATAAATACTATACGAAAATAGACCACAAAGTCGGCATTTTAATTAAAAAAAAAACAGTCGGAGTTTTTTTTTCTCATTATGCACTGCATGCTCCAGGACTTCTTTTATATGGTGCACACTGACCACACAGACCCATTCTCTCACTTGTGGGCCTACCAGTTTTCTCCTGCTTGATTTGAAGCCGCTAGAATTTATGAGTACAGTGGACCCTCGACTAACGCTATTAATCCCTTCCTGAGAGCTCATCGTTAGTCAAAATAATCGTTAGTCAAGTTAATTTTCCCCATAAGAAATAATGGAAATCAAATTAATCCGTGCAAGACACCCAAAAGTATTGAAAAAAAAAAATTTAACACATGAAATATTAATTTTAATACACAAACTGAAGAAGACATGCACAGTTACATGACACTTACCTTTATTGAAGATCTGGTGATGATTGATGGGATGGGAAGAGGGAGTGTGTTGATGGTCTTAGTGTTTAGAAGGGGAAAACCCCCTTCCATTAGGACTTGAGGTGGCAAGTCCTTTTCTGGAGTTACTTCCCTTCTTTTAATGCCACTAGGACCAAGCTTGAGAGTCAACTGGACCTCTGTCGCACAAACCTATCTGCCCCATAGAGGGCCTGTACCTCCCGTTTCCTTTATGACATTCCTAACGTGTTTCACACATTGTCAGGTCACCATTAAACACTTGTTCAGGTTTCGGGTCCTTCACTGTCTATGTACCCCTTGAATTCCTGCCATATTTTTCAGCTGCTTTTTGGTCCAAACTGGCAGCCTCACCATGCCTTATCACACTATGTATGCCCTACAATTCTTAAATCTCTCAAACCAACCTTTGCTGGCCTTAAATTCACTCACATCACCACTAGTTGCTGGCATTTTTCTAATTAAATCGTCATGCAACTTCCTAGCCTTTTCACATATGATCGCTTGAGAGATGCTATCTCCTGCTATCTGTTTTTCGTTTATCCATACCAATAACAGTCTCTAAAACATCTTCTATCACTTGCGATCTAAATTTCAAAAACTAGTTGCACCTTTGGCAAGAACAGCTTCCTTGATTGCCGTTTTCTTGGCCACAATAGTAGCGATGGTTGATTGGGGTTTTGTGTACAGCCTGGCCAGCTGGGAGACATGCACTCCACTTTCATACTTAGCAATCATCTCTTTCTTCATATCCTAGTAATTCTCACCCTTTTTTGCTGTAGGGTTGGCACTGAAAGCTTTCTTGGGGACCATGGTGACTTATTTTGCAGGTGCAATCACTAAAAAGGGTTTGTGATAATATGAAATGTTCCGATTGTTGTTTGGAAGCGACCGGGGTGGCTGGCTGGCTTGTAAACACTGGCCAGAAGTGGACGCGTCTCAGACGGAAGGAATAGTGTTGGTCGAGTTTTTTAGCGCTAATCGAGGCAAAATTTTTGCGATAAAATGTATCACTAGTCAGATTTATCGTTATTCGATGCCATCGCTGGTCGAGGGTTTTTTCCACCTGTATATATACTCAAACACGGTATCTCGTAAGACGTATATATACACCGCGACAGTCAAAGGGTTAAATGCTGACTTACTTGCTAAAACTGTTAATTTTACACAAATCACTGACTGGCGCTATAGCCATTATCGATTCCTGCTGCTTTAGTATCGTACATATCGTAGAATCACTGAAGGCAAATTCTCCCTCTCTCTTCCTCCTCCATTTTGGGGTACTTTGTTACTATTTTTTTTTTCTTGAATTCTATTATGTTTTCTCACTTTCTTTATCAACAGGCTGGCACTTGCAGCTTCTTTGGGGCCCTGGTGGCTTATTTAGCATTTCACACAGAATAAACAAGTGCAAAAAACAATGAATTATTTTGAAATTTTTCCCCCATGACCTCGCAGGATAATGTTCACTCACTGAAAAACAAAGCACACTGCCCCAGAATGTGTGTGTGTGAGAGGCTTTGTGTGCATGCGGTACTGGGAAACAGGTACCATACCACAGATGAGAACAGAGGAAAGTAACAAAAACAGAGCCAATATTTTTACGAAAAAAGTTGGCGATAACTGAAATTCACGAAAACAGAGCCCAACGAAAAGGGGAGGGCCACTGTATAATTCATTAATAAAATCTGATACATTAACTGTAAAGACTGCACACTGTACATATTTAACATCTTTCTTCTTTCAACAAACCGGCCGTAACCCACACAAGGCAGGGTGGCCCCCCCCCAAAAAAACACGAAAGTTTCCTTTTTAAACTTAGTAATTTATACAGAAGAAGGGGTCACTAGCCCTTTGATCCCGCATTTAAGTTGCCTCTTACAAAACCCATGGCTTACGGAAAAAGGGAAATTCTGTTTCATTTCCCCAATGGAGATAAGAGGAAATAAACAAGAACTAGCAGGAAAATAGAAGAAAACCCCAAGTGGTGTGTATATACATGCTTTTACAGTAGACCCCCAGTTTTCGGCTGGTGTGAAATTTTACAATTCAGATTGGGGAGCACTTTTTCGGAAAAAATTCCTTCCCGGGTTTTTGTACGTCGCCTCGGAAATCAATGGTATCATACCCCATCCACCTGGGCCACTCATACATTCGTGACTCACTCTTAGGCACATTAAATGTTTTAAATTTTACATTAATATAGACATATTCATTAACCCTTTCAGGGTCGAGAGGCGCTCCAAAAACTTGTTCTCAGGTTGAAAATTTTTGGGAAAAAAAAAAAAAATTATTTTTTCTTATGAAAAGATGGAGAATCTTTTCCTGGTCATAATGACACCAAAAGTATGAAATTTGACGGAAAACTTACGAAATTATGCTCTCGCAAAGTTCGATCTCGATGATGTCTACGCTTTGGCAATTTCACTGACTGAGCCCTATTTTCAGCAATTCCAGTGTACTAGTCGACAAAAATCGTAACTATTTCGCTAGAACTCCATTTTTTCTATCGAATGAGTACAAGAAACTCATCAATTTACCAATTTCAACTATCCAATAAAAGTGGTCAGAAATTAGCAATTTTGCCAATTTCAAAACAAATTTAAAAAGATGCCAATTTCCAAATAGGGTCCAGAATAAACAAGACAGACATTCCTGTCACTAAAATAGCTTTTCCTTTGTTCAGTAGTCAGGGTCCCAGGCCCCTCTTAATTTTCTTTTGTTTTCCACTTTGAATTTTTATTCTCACAAAAAATAGAAGATTTACTGTTATGTAGACTACTGCATTAGTGTAGAAATGTTATAAATAATATCAGGGCACTTGTGAAAGAATATTAGGGCTCACCAGTTGATGTGTATTCGACGCATGGCATGATATGTTTACTTTTGAACTTTGGCAAAAAATCGAACATTTCTGCTTCTTTGAGCCAATTTCAAAGGGACTTTTCATTGTGAAACCAATCAAAATCATCTTAATTTCTGTAATATGTCTTCCATTCTATAAAATGAGACCAGGAAAACTAGAATACAGCAATAAATACCATACGAAAAAACAGTGCTGCTAAGTCGCTGTTTTAAGCCAAAAAACACAGTCAAAGTTTTTTTTCTCTCTCATTACGCACTTGTGCTGCAGAATTTTTTTATACTGTGCACACTGACCACATAGACCCATTCTTTCATATGTAGGCCTACCAGCTTTCTCTCCGCTAGATTTGAAGGAACTAGAATTTAGGCTACTAGTATGCAATAACCCTGGTGCGTAAGCCGTACTAGTACGTCAGAAACCCTGAAAAGGTTAATCCATCTATGTATTTTCTTCAAAACAATACTATAAGAAACAGTTACTAGCATATAAACATGCAATGTTTATTTTGCTACCAAGGGGTCGGTGGAAGGTAAACATTACGTTTTCTCTGATCCAGCTTTTAGAAAAATGTGTATGAATTTGCCTTGGCCCAGTAACCAAAACCCCCCTTAACCCTTTGGGGGTTTCGGCCATACTAGTACGGCTTACGCACCATGGGGTTTTTTACGTACTAGTACGCATAATTTCTAGCGTCCTCAAATCTAGCAAGAGAAAACTGGTAGGCCTACATATGAAAAAAATGGTCTATGTGGTCAGTGTGCGCAGTATAAAAAAAAATCCTGCAGCACACAGTGCGTAAGAAAAAAAAAAAACCTTGACCGTGTTTTTGGATTAAAACAGCGACTTTGCACTGGGCTTTCGTATGGATTTATGGCTGTATTTTAGTTTTCTTGTCTCATTTTTTAGACTGGAAGACATATTACAGAAATTGAGATGATTTTGACTGGTTTTACAATTAAAAGTACCTTGAAATTGAGCTCAAAGTACAGAATGTTCGATTTTACCAAAGTTCAAAAGTAAACAAATCATTTCTAAGTGTCCAATACACATCAATTGGCGAGTCTAATATTCTTTCACAAGTGCGCCGATATTATTTAAAACCATTTCTACACTAATGCAAATAGTCTGCATAACAGTAAATCTTATTTTTTTTTGAGAAATAAAAATCAAAGTGGAAGCAAAAGAAATCTAAGAGGGGCCTGGGGAGGTGACTAATGAACAGAGGAAATGTTATTTTAGTGCCTGGAATGTCTTTCTTGTTTATTCTGGACCCTATTTGGAAATTGGCTTTTTTGAAATTTGTGTGAAATTGGCAAAATTGCTAAATTCTGACCATTTATTGGATAGTTGAAATCGGTAAATGGGTGGCTTCTTGTACTCATTCGATAGAAAAAATGGAGTTCTAGCGAAAATTATGATTTTGGTCAACTAGTACACTGGAATTGGCCGAAAATAGGGCCAAAGGGGCAAAATCGCAGTTGCGTAAACATAGTTGAGACGCTAACTTTGTGAGAGCATAATTCCGTAAGTTTTCCATCAAATTTCATACTTTTTTGGGGTCATTATGATCGGGAAAAGATTCTCGATCTTTTCATAAGAAATTTTTTTTTTTTTTTGAAATTTTGGCGACCCGAGAACAAGTCTCTGAGAGGGCCTGGCGACCCCCAAAGGGTTAACAGACATAAGGCTTTTGTTAACAATTTCAGCATGAATTATTCAAATTTCTCCCTCCCTTTGTTTATGATGGCATATAAAGGTAGTGGTTAGAAACAATTAACCCTTTAAACGTTGGTGTTGGTGTCAATATTATACACGAGTGTCTTACGAGCCAGTGTTTTGACATACAGTGGAACCTCAAAAATCGAACGTATCACATATCGAACGTTTCAAAAATAGGACCATTTTTTCGGACAAACGTTGTCCCTATTATCGAACGCGCCCCTATTTTCGGACCACCAGGTACGAGACTGTCCGTGGGCCCGCTCTGTCCGCGTCCCCGCGCAGGCGCCATGAGCAGTCTAGCTTTGTTTATGCTTGAGTTAACACTAACCTGCGCTCTCATTCACACATTTCACGATTATTTCGTTGTGTTTAGTGCTGTGGGACGTGAAATAGCTGCCATGGGCCCAAAGAAAATTGCTAGTGGTACCCCTGTGGTAAAGAAAGTGAAAACACCATAGATGTGAAGAAGGAAATAATACAGAAGTATGAGTGGTGAGAGACTTGTTGAGCTTGCCCAGGATGTATGGGAAAAACAAGTCGACCATCAGTTCTATCCTGTCAAAGAAAAAACAAACCAAGGAAGCTGATGTTGTGAAAGGTGTTAATATGCTAACCCAAAAAAAAACCACAAATAGTTGAGGTTGAGAAGTTGTTGCTGGTGGGGCCCTCAAGGATAAAGAGATTTCAGGTGACAGTGTTTCAGAGACAATTATTTGCGAAAAGGCAAGGAAGTTGCATGCCGATCTGGTACAGAAAACTCCTGGGAAACCAGTGCTGATAGTGAATTTAAGGCCAGCAGAGGCTGGTTTTTACAGATTTAAGAAGCGTAGTGGCATACACAATGTTGTAAGACATGGTGAGGCAGCCAGTTTTAGACAAACGGGCAGCTGAGAAGTTTGTACAGGAGTTTAAGGGGTTACACAGGACAGTGAAGAATTCAAACCTGAACAAGTGTTTAATTGTGACGAAACAGGCTTTTTGAAAGAAAATGTCAAAAAAGACCATCACACAGGGGGAAAAAGGCACTGCCAGGACACAAGTCTATGAAGACAGGCTTACTCTTTTGTTCTGTGCTAAGCTAGTGGTGATTTTAAAGTGAAGCCTTTAAATTGTGTATCATTCAGAAAATCCCAGTGTGTTTAAGAAAAACAAGTTATGTGTCTTGTGGAAAGCTAATCATAAGGCATGGGTCACAAGACAAATTTTCAACGAGTGGGGTTTTATGAAAGTGTTTGGCCCCAGTGCGAAAAAAATACCTCCAGGAAAAGAAATTGCCACCAAGTGCCTCCTAGTTAATGGACAATGCTCCTGCTCATCCTCCAAACTTACTAGACCTCTTATCTAAGGACTTCAGTTTTATAAAAGTGAAGTTCTTGCCTCCTAACACCACTCCTCTCCTCCAGCCCATGGACCAGCAGGTCATTTCTAACTTCAAAAAACTCTACACAAAAAACAGTGTTTGAAAAGTGCTTTGAAGTGACCACAGACACTAAGTTGACCCTAAGAGAGTTCTGGAGGGAAACGCTTCAACATCTACAGCTCCATAAGCCTTATAGGTAAGGCTTGGGAGGGAGTGACTTCCAGGACTTTGAACTCTGCTTGGAGAC